TACACAATGATCAACCAGTTTTAGACTGCATTTATTTAAAACATTTTCTTTACTACATTATATTTCATCTTAACAAAGTTGTTATTTGTATTGAGAATAGGAAATCGCCGAACAAAAAGATTATTTACATTATTCCTATATGGTAATAAAATTTTTCTTTTCAATCATAATATTCTCACTTTAAGAAAGAAGTGATTGTATACTAAACTATTCATTTTTAATATGAATGTAAAAGGCTCTGTGAAGATTAAATGATTATTTTACACTTGGTAATGTTATTGTCTTCATTCTTTTTTATGATTGATTAAACCACTCAAACGACCACCATGAATTTCTTAGTAAAATATAAGTTTTACCATATTCTCAGTGTATAAGTATGGTATATGAAACTATCAATCACTATTTTTATGCTCACTCACTCTCTCTCTTCCTCTCTTTCTTTTATCTACGCCAACAAAACTGGTTTGTTTTGGTCATTTTACTCCAGATTACTTCCGGTTTATTTATTTATGTTTGAATGTATTTATTTGTCTATATAATACATAAACTCATATAGTAACTCAGGATTAAAGCATATCATTTAATGGTATACTAACATTTTATTCTATCTTACTCACTTGTTGTTATGGTCATTCTGTATGAGATAGCTAGACCACCATGGAAAACCTGGATGCACTGGACGACCGTTTCGTCCTATTGTGGGACTCCTCAGTACTGTGCATCCGCGATCTCGCCCCCTTTGAGGCTCGAACACAGGACTTATCAGTCTCACGCGCGAGTGCTTAACCATTAAACCACTGAACTGGTCGACATCCAACGGTGTTAATGTCTAACTTCAACTAATCCACGAAATTGCGCCACCGTACACCATTGTCTTCAGTGAGTTGATATTTCACAACAGACCTGGTTGAACTCCGCTGGTCACTGCTTCTCACTGTTTTGCACTATTATTTTTCTCACCCTATCTGACCCTTATTTATTTGGATTATGGATCTTAAATTATCACTAACAATTAGTTAAATTTGTTGAATCTATCATTAGGGGATATTCTGGATATTTTAATTACTGAGTACTCAGTAATTTTAATATATCATGTTCGCTGTAAAACATTATTTGTTTGAATTCAATCCTTTTAAGGAATTGTAGGTACACTGTGGTAATTAGTTGGAATTCATAATGAAATAACCATCCAGTACCAAATAATTCTCATTGTTTTTCTTCAGTTTACGTCTTCAAAACATCATCAAAACAATCAGTTGAGATAAATACCAACTTAAATTCCATGATCACTATCCCTAAACAACTTTGGTAAACCCAGTGTTTTCAACCGAAAATTAATTTTATCAAAAATAAATGACCGAATATTATCTTGATTGAATATTGACTGTACTAGTGTGCTTAAATAAGCGTCTTTTTTTAAAGAGACATAGACAAAATCCCAATAGTATAAATATTTAAAGAAAATTTGGATCAGCTGAGAAAAAATATTGAATTAATAAAACTGTCATTTGAATTAAAATTATTCCACCAAAAGATCTTTAAACGTTGTTTGTTACAAAGTCAATGGTTAATCAAGAGTAAAGATCCAAGATCTCTGACACATTCAATGAGGTATTTTTTTCGCTTGTACTATTATTTATTGAAATAAGGTTAAACTACCAGTGAAAAGCCTCATTATACGTCACTTCTCATTGACTGAAAACTTACTATGATCGATGATAAATGTTTTTTTGACTAAATATATTCGAAAGTATATGTTAATAATAATGCTTAATGCATAATATTTTATTTGCAAATCATTTCATGTCAGATAAACATACCTCTGAGCATCTGAACACACAATTTAGTCTGTATTGTAAAATATTTTACAAATTTAAAAATCATCACAAACATCACATAGTGATAATAGTTGTCTTTAAAAAATCTACTAAATTCCTTAGTAATGTAATAAGTTTGCTAATTCAAAGTTTCATTTTATTTTAAGTCATTTGTACGTTTTGCTTTTTCTTATCATTGACACTTAAGTATATGTATTCTGACATTTCCAGAATGGTGGTAGACCACCATTGAAAATCTAGAAGCACTGGACAATCGTTTCGTCTTAGTATAGGACTCCTCAGCAATGTGCACCTATGATCCCGCCTGAGAGATTCGAACTCTGGACCTTCGGTTTCGCGGTCTAACACTTGACCTTAGACCACTGGGACAGCATCCGTCAGTGTTAATGTTGAACTCTAATCGATCTGTGATCTTGCAAAATCATTCATTCATTGTCTGAAGTGGATAATTGTTACAACCCGACACGGATTGGATTCCACTGGTCGTGGCTTCTCACTAGACCTCCAGGAGATCCTTCTTGAAGCCAATCACTAGTGAGCACATGATGATCATTATCAGAATGGGGCTTTCGGAGATTTTAGTAATTTTAATAGTTGAATTCATGAATCGATCTATGTGGGATCGTAGATGCGCACTGCTGAGGAGTCCCATACCAGCACGAAACGATCGTTCAGTGCTTCCACGTTTCGACGGTGGTCTAGCTTAGATCGATTCTGACACTTATCATATTTCTTTCTTTCCACAATAACTTTGTTAGCCTATGTGAATTTGAGGATTTTAAGTGTGTCTTCAAATAGGATAGGTGTTAAGACCTATCAAACGAAATTATACATGATAGTGAAGTAGCCGTTAATTGTTCTCCGAATATTTTAGCTTCAATGAATCATTTTGATATTTCGTAAGAGATATTATCATTCTTGACAACTGTTTGATAAGGAGTTGTAAAAATGAAGACAACTGGTGCTTACTAATATAATTTAGTCAAATTTCATTTCACTTCAAGATCGTTGTACTTACACCATATCAGTGTGGGATAGTATAATAAGAAGACGAAGATTACGAGAACTATGTAATATATTAGCGAAATACATTTCGAACGGTTTGATCACACATATACTTGTTAAGAACATTTATATATAAAAATAGATAGGTCAACTAAACAAGTGAAGGAGACAAAAATAATAAAGAAAATACTGTGAAAAAAAAACAATTTGACAACTCACCACTCGATAATAACAAGAGTAGTTTTAAAGTAAGAACAAACTGTTATTGAATACATAAAGGGGGTTTGAATTTTCATATGGCAAAATCTTCATTTAACCTTAATATACGTCATTGAACACTTTTATACAACACCATAAAAGCCATGTTGATAATGTGAATTGTAACAAAATCCTAAACTAAGAGAAAAATGTCTATCTAATACACATTGATCATTATTGATTAATTCATGATAACCATCCTCAAAAAAAAATAAACAACCCGAATTAGTTGCCTAGTAGTAATATAATTTTCAATTCAATCTATAACATAAAAAAATAAATCACTTTTTGATTTTTTTTTTCCTAATCAATAGTGATTATTTACTATACTATTAGAATGTACTTATTGCCAAATTGATGATGAATCATAATTCTATAATAAAACAGAATTAAAGTATTGAAAAAAAAATGATTAAATGAATACAAATTTATTAAACATCATTACAATAAAAAAGATACAACCAATCAATGTCATCTAATTATTCTTATCAGAATAGTGGTTACTATATAATACATTATCATTATATCATTATACTTTAAGTAAGAAATTTAGATCTGAGATAAATGTTAACTAGAATATTGAGAAAATTATATGAATCATGTTAGAAATGAGTGAAAAAGTTATTTTAATTGTACGGTTCGTATTTCTTCTTGGGTTCGATTGGATTATTAATGTATTAATAATAATAATAATAATAGGACTCCGTCTGGGGCCCCTCTGAGGCTACTGCCGGTCCTAAGCCCGAATAAAGGAGGAGGGTTGGGCATTTGGTTAGCGACCCCATCCCGTAGAAAAAACGATAACCAGAAAAATAATTCAAACCATTTAAACTCTGCCCTGGGAGTTATAAGGTTTTCATTTAGAAGAGCTGTGACGTAAATGGTGAAAACCGAGTTCCTTCGAAAATCACGAGGCTGATGTCCCTTCTGACAACCAGAGAAACCATTAATTTAGGTAGGTGGAATACTCGTACAGAGTGGAAGAACGGAAGAGTTATTCAAATTGCTGCAGAATAATAACAGTGACCATATTTTCGAACACGTAAACTACTGGTTAACTAGTTCACCATTACAAATATTCAACACAATTCATAATTTCCAAAGTTGACAACACAGTAAAGTGATTATTTATTTAGTATTTGTTTGCATATAGGAAGAAAAAAATATATATAAATTTACCATTGAAGTATTGGAATAACTGTTCCATTAACTTTACGTACAGTTCTTATATTGTTAATGAATAGAATGGAAGAGCCCGATTTTATAAGGAATCAAAATAATAATTATTTAAACTGAACATCTTGAACTAAATCAGTTTGACCAAGATTTTCAACTGATGTGTAAATTTTATAGTTTTGAGGTAGTTTATCGAGTAGCATGGCCTTCTGTAAATGTTCTCATTTCCCCATGGTTCAAGAAGTTATCTTAACAACCTGGACCATCCAGCTTACTTACTTACTTACTTAAGCCTGTTAATCCCAATGGAGCATAGGCGGCCGACAAGCATTCTCCAACCCACTCTGTCCTCGGCCTTCCTTTCTAGTTCTATCCAATTTTTGTTCATTCTTTTCATGTTTGTCTCCATTTCTTGACGTAATGTGTTCTTTGATATTCCTCTTTTCCTTTGGCTTTTAGGATCCCAAGTAAGGGCTTGCCTTGTGAGCCATTTGAGAGCTTTCCTCATCCAGCATTATACATTTAAAATACGAGGTAGAAAATTTTCTATTTCATAAGTTAACAGTTTTCAGAGTTGACTTCGAAAATAATCACTTTCCAGCAGAAAAAGACTGTTTTTGCTTTCTCAATTACTTATCTAATTATAACAGATAAGAACTTGTATAGATATAAACTTATAAAAATGAATTTTATTATTCTATATAAGTTTCAAAAGTCCATATTATGGTGATTCGAAACTACCTTGTTGTAACATCTAAAATGGAATCTTATCTTTCCAATGTGAAACTTCAGATCGGGGTAGGTCGTATATTACTTTGGAAATCATACAAATAATAAGAATTCTTACATTTCTTTGTAATAACTTTATGTCAAATAGAACTTGCTGTGGTCTAGACTAGGTGGTTTCTAACATAAAGTTTATCAACATAGAAACTGGGTGGTGAAATATCTTTTATATGCTACTGATATGTTAAAACCGACTGTGTAGTTTACAAAATGGTTAATAAATTTAATGCAGTTTATGGCTAAATAATCTTGTTAAAATTTTCTGAATACGCCCACCCACTAAAGAAAGAAAAGAGATATTGACGTCACTTCAAAGCTTCAATATTTTAAACTCAAGTATTTATGAAAAAGACATTTTTAACATGAATTGAAACAAATTTATATACTAAGAAGTTTGACAGTAATCACTTTTCATTATCAGTAGAAATGAGGATTCTCTCTAGAATTATTTCATGACTCATCTCAGTATTACTATAACTGCCATGGAATTTAAATAATTTTATAATAATTCAGTAGAATCAATGGAGATAAAAGGAATTTTCAACTTATTAATTGTCTAACAATTACTTAACGCAAAACAACACTTAACAGAAAATATTCATGAACTGAATTATACCCAGAGTCCATCAAAGTTACAAAAGTCTCTATTCAAATAATATACCTAGTTAAATAAAAAAACAAACGACCATTGTGTCAATAAAGGTAATTTATGGAAAAAAATCTATATACAATCCTAAGAGCGGGATCGTGGTTGCACACTGCTGAGGAGTCCCATAATAGGATAAAACGGCCGTCTAGGGCTTCCAGGTTTTCAGTGGTACTCTAACACCAATCGGTCCATAATCTCAATTAGAAATTTATACGGTTATTTTAAAGTAATAAAGTATCAGTTTGGTGTTATGGAGATTGTTGAGTTATTAATTGAGATCATGAGTCTATGAGTGTTATACCACTATTGAAAACCTGAAATCACTGAATGGCCGTTTTGTTCTAGTATATATATACTCAAAACCACTTGAGGGATTTCGAGTGCCTGCTGATAGAAAGTCCTATATTAGGACGAAACAGCTATCCAGTACTTCCAGGCTTTCAGTGGTAGTCTAACACTGATCGGTTCATGATCTCCACAATTCTATACTGAAATTCTAATTTTAATTGGTCACAGCCTTTTGCTATTAATCAACAGATCTTCAAATATTATATACTGCAGACTATTTCGTATATTTCTTGTGCTTGCATTTCGGTAAAATGAATCCAAGCATATGAAATAACTTTATAAGTTAGCTGGGATTTACTATCATTCTAGCTTTCATTATCTGTTGGATCCATTGTTGTTTTTACTGAGTACTAATCAGTAAACGACTCAGTAGAGATACAATTTTATTTTGACCATCGACGAAATAAAACTACAGTAAAGTTTTAAATAATCGAAAGAACTGTACTAAACAAAATCTGTAGTATTGTGAACAGACAGGACAATAAACCAGTGAGGTACAACTCATCTAACAAGAAAACTTTTCGAGACCATAATTTATGAACGAAACGATCAGATATGAGATAACCGGTCTTGTATTCTGGTGTGAAATCCATGTATCCATTTGGCTAAATAGTGTTTTGGCATTTTAGCTGATCAGTCAGTGATAAAAACACTAAATCCAATTCCTAACCCTAACTATAAACTGTAAATCACAATTCTAATTCTCAAGGTCGCTCAAAAGTTGTCCATAAATTATAGTCTCACCCAAAACTTAACTAAGTCACAATAGATATTTAAAGCGTTCATCTTAAAATCATGGGACTGACTAAAAGTCATAAACAATTCTGAAATAAGTACTTCTGATCTGTTCATGACAAAACAAAATCAGATATATTGAGGTTCCTGGTGATTTGTTCATGTTTATCTTGGCTTATCGGATTTGTTTCATTTTTGTATCAGAATTAACACAATAAATTCATGCTATTTTTCACTGCAAAATATATTTGTCCTATGAGATGGTGGAGAAGATTTATAGCTCAGGTAAATGATTTTGATGAAGTTTTGTTCTCTGAGCTGTATAGTTTGGTCTTGAACTTTAAGACTTCTATCTGAAGTTTGTGCTGATGATTTCGTCTAGAAGAACGATGAAAGCTTCGCGACAAAACCATCTAGCTCAGTGAACTAAACTCCATCAAAATATTTGTCTTATTCTATATATGTCGAACGTTTCGATTTAGTTTGATTATATTCTACTTTTCTATACACATTGATCAACGTCTGAATATAACATTTGAATTTACAAAAAATAAACTGATAACCATCAACTGTTTTTCGTACTGCTACACTATATTCTTGTTTGGAAACGCAGTTTTAACACAGCGTATTTATAGCAATTTATCAAATTAAACAATAGCAGTAAACCAATTATATTCAAAATTTATTCTGGCTCCAATTTGTCTGATACACATAGACAGACAGGTGCCTGTTGAATTTTGTGTATTATTTTTTTTTGTTTTTTGTTTTAGTTTCTTGTTTCCATTTAAGACTGTGTGTTTAGGATAGTTGTAAATACATATTGATATTGTATTGGTTGTTTATTTCATCCAATCAAATGTTTATGTTTTCAATAGACAGACTGGCGCCTATTACTTACTCATTTTGTGTTTTAGCGAATAAATCGACAGACAATAAGGCAATTAACATATCAGTAACGAATTTATAATAATCACACAGATATTATTTCAAATTAGGGCATAGTTACTTTTTGATGTATTAAAATATGCAAAAGTTTAATTTTAACCATAACGATTTCGTTATTATAGTACTTATTAAAAAAACAAAAATATTTTTCTTGTTCTCCCTCTAAAACAGTTCGATTTTAGACATGGACTAAGCACAGTTTTAAGAAAAGAAAGTTTACTTATTTTCAATCCTTTTTTTCCTAAGCATCTTATTTACTGTTGATCATACTTTTTTTTACCGTAAATGGGTGGTGGTAGGTTTAATGGTTATCGGCGCTAGATTAGCAACAGTAAACCAACCTAGTGATTGTCCAGACTAAATTGTATGTATGAAAATATACCATTAACCTGACTGTTTGTTTACGCCAATATATATAAATAAATATAATGTGTGTGTGTTTATTGGTATATATTTGATTTAGAGGGACAGAATGACATAAATTGTTGAAGAAACTCTTTTGTATGTACAAGATGGGTGAGTGGGTGGTTAGGTAGTCGGATAGTCAGTGAGTAAGAGGGGGTAGATAAATTAATTTTCGACAATGGCTTTTGATACGCCAATATTATGACCTAAACTCGTCCCCTATTACAATTTCCATTACACTATAATTATTAGCTACTATTTAGTTACATTTATAAAGATCAACATGATAGAACGTTTATAATTTGGAATTAAATAATAAATTAACAGCTACAAGGATAGAAATTCAAAATAACTTTATTCAATAGAGTAAAATAGTTATCTCCTTGGAAAATTTAAAGGAAATATCATTTCTCATTGTATATGATTAGAAAATAACAAACAAACACTTTCCCTTTTGCTATCTCTCATTATTCATAATTATTATAATACCAGTATATGAATGAATATAATATACAATAACAATAAAATATCTAGAAAATAATTAATATTATAAATGAATATTTACAACAGAAAAGATTAGAAAAAGACAGAAGTAGAAATATCCTACTGTAACCATTAAACTAACTTGTTTTCTCTGTTTTGTTGTTGTTGCTATTATTATTGTATGAATTGTACGTTTAAAATACAATTTATTCATCAACATTGAATAATAATAATAATAATCGAAGTTTAAGAAAGCAGACATTGGGTCAGAATTGTATCCACCTCATCATTTCGGTAAGTAGATTGTGTTGAAATGATTTAGATTTATAACTTTGAATAAATTTATTATTCAGTAGTTGGGATCATAATTCAATCGAAACTAGAATACCATGGAAAACGTGGAAGCACTTGACGGTCGTTTCGTCCTAGTGTGTGACTCTTCGGCAGTGAGCATTCACGATTCCGCCCCGCAAGATTCGAACTTAGGATCTATCAGTCTCGAGCGGGAGCACTTAACCACCAGACCACTGAACCGATACCCCGCGAGGTGGGGTTGTGGATGCGCAACGCCGAGGAGTTTTATAACAGGACGAAACTACGGTCAAGTGCTTCCAAGTTTTCAATGGTGGTCTAGCTTCAATTGACTCATGATCTCAATTGCTGAAATTACTAAAATCTCTACAATAAACCTCTTCTGATACAAATTTATTATTTAAGAGTATTAGATTAGCGGCAATTTAGGATAGTAGTTTGTAGAGACTACTACTACATTTGAAATTAGTTATTACAATAAACTGGTATTGTTTTGAGAACTATTGTGAATTAAAGATATGATATTAGTGAACATTGATAGTTTAAAATCAATTCCTTATAATGTTAATAAATTACTTCAGCAGGAAAACCATGTATCTGACAGGATAATAATGAATACGAATCTGAATACACTAATATTTATATACGTTATGTACAGTCAGATTAATAGTCACATTTTGTATGAGTTGAAGTGAATAGTAATTAGCATCAATTAATCAGTAGCTTAATACATGAACAGACATTGACTTATTTATTTGAACATATAAACATTGGTACAAGGAGACAGCAAATAAATGTATACCACACTTCATCATTCGGTTCATGTGAAGGCTAGGATACTGTCAAGGCGCCCAAATGGAAGTAGGCTGATTTACCAAGTTAGATAATTACTCTTTCCTAAGATGTGATTATATGTTATAGATGATCGGAAAATGTCTGTTTCATATGTTACTCTTATTCCAACTAATTTAGTTTTTAGACATATCGACCCTCCCTCCTGATGTAGTAACATTAGTGAAAAGTAGATAACTTTGACTCGTTTTATATATTCACCAGTTTTCATGTAAATCATTTTCTTCTTTCGAATACAAACTGAAACTCCACAATTGATATTTCATATGAGACAATCCTTTATAATGGGTAAGATTGTTAATTCAGCATATATTTAAGTTGAACATTTGTTGCATTAGTTGATGACATGAACAGATTTAGAGGATAATTTGGAGATAACATCAGGTTATAAAAACATAGACTGGTGATATAAATCAGAAGATTTAGACTCCTTTATTAAAGTCAGTGAATTAATTGTAATCTTTGATTGATGAACATGTATCAAAATAAATCTCATATGTAAACAGATTCATTGCTTTATTTCTTTAAATTCAAAGTTCTAAAAATATGTCATGCTCAGATTTCATTTATTCTTATTGAATTCTTTCCCTGTCTATGATTAACATTACCATTTTAAATGTTTTGCAATCGATTCTTTTTAACCACCTACAAGTGTACTCATATAAAATATAGTAACGCAAACTAATGTACATTTGTCCCTAGTTGTCAGATATTATGAATCGACTGACCCTTTATAGTGGTTACATTCTAATATCAGCTAACAGTGAGTTATAAAATCTAGGCAAAAATTTTTATCTGTAAACTATATTATTCATTACAAATAAGATAATATTTTTCCAATTGGAAGAAAGTTAGGGGTGGCCAAAACAAAACGTAGCATCAGTGCTTGAAGACACTAACTTCTGGTCTGAGCCATGCCCGTAGATACAGACTACTTAGTTGAGGTCCGCGTGATTATCATAATCAATGGTTGGAGACTGTTTGTGACATGAGTCAGAATCGAGTACAATGGCGTCGGTGTATACACTCTCTGTATTCCCTTAAACTATGAGATTAAAATTCTAATTCTTTAATCCTGAATTATATCCTTATACACAATGTTTCTATTATGTATTACCACCATTGATGTGACTATTTCTATGCATTCGGTGTTCATTTTGTTGTGTTAATGCGTTATAGCAACTTCGACCGATGCATACATGTGCCTAGCCGTATGTTGTAGCTGACTGGATGACTGACTGATTTTCCCCAATCGAATCCTCGGTTACTAGTAAATAATCTTGGTTGAAACACGTTAAATCTCTTAGATTTTCTAGTTGGATACACGCTGTTGAGCAGTTATATACCAGGATGAAACAACTATAAAACAAAACATGCAAAATAGTTTTGAATTGTTCATCAGTTGATCCAATTGTTAGAAAAATAATTTTTCACAAAATTATTAATTAAATGTACATTTTATTAGTAAATTAAGTTCTGATGAACTGATCAATGTTAGATCACCATTAAAAAACCTAGAAGCACTGGACAGTAGTCTCGTCCTATTGTGGGATTCCTCATGATCTCAATCAAAAAACTTAATAATCCCCACAACCCTTATACTGATAATTACCATGTGCTCACTAGTGACTAGCTTCGTGAAGGAATTCTTGGAGTTCTAGTGAGAAGCCGTGATCAGTGGGGCTAATTCGTGTCGGGTAGAGAGAAGTATCTACTTCAGTATAATCGGAGATGGTCGTGAAATTCAGTGGACTGGTTAAGATTAGACATTAATACCATTGGATACCGTTTCAGTGGTCCAGTAGGTTAAGCGTTCACGCGCGAGACTGAAGGCCCTGGCTTCGAATCCCGCGAGGGAGATCGTAGATGCACGCTGCTGAGGAGTCCCACAATAATACAAAACGTCTATCCAGTGCTTCTAAGTTTTCAGTGGTAGTCTAACACCAATCAGTTCATGATCTCAATCAATAAATCATCATGTCAACTAAGAATATATAGACTTATCTAAATAAAACCACACAGAGAATAAAAATTTAATTTAAATAAATAAAATAAGAAGTTAATTTAATGATGATGGAAGTCAATATAAAATAACAATAAAATACTCCAAAATAAGTACCACTTTTCTTTTTCTTGTTTATTTATATTCTGTTGGAATATATTAGGTGTGAAATATTATATAATTGAAATAATTGGAATTACTATTAAAACTTGGTTTATTTTAGAATTCGATTGTATTGGTTGTTTTCAAATTAGTAATACTACTTATAATTTTTTATTATGACTGAATGTATTATGAATATTTTCGCTTAAACTATGATGTAGGCAAGATATTCAGTCAATCAATCAATCAGTCAGTCAGTTACAACATACGGCTAGGCACATATATGCATCGGTCGAAGTTGCTATAACGCATTAACACAACAAAATGAACACCGAATGCATAGAAATAGTCACATCAATGGTGGTAATACATAATAGAAACATTGTGTATAAGGATATAATTCAGGATTAAAGAATTAGAAAGAAAGACATAAAACAATTTTAATCTCATAGTTTAAGGGAATACAGAGAGTGTATACACCGACGCCATTGTGCTCGATTCTGACTCATGTCACAAACAGTCTCCAACCATTGATTATGATAATCACGCGGACCTCAACTAAGTAGTCTGTATCTACGGGCATGGCTCAGACCAGAAGTTAGTGTCTTCAAGCACTGATGCTACGTTTTGTTTTGGCCACCCCTAACTTTCTTCCAACCATATCCAACACTGGTTAGCACTGCGCGTCGTGGTAATCGGTGTTCAGATATGCGTAATACGTGACCCAACCATCTCAGTTGATGAAGATTCACAATCTTATCAACTGATTTGCCATCGTTCCCTAATACCCTGCGGCTAACCTCACTATTGCTTACTCGGTGATCCCAGAGGTTGCAAATAATATTTCTAAGACATCTGTGTTCAAATACTAGTAACTTACGAATATCTTCTACTGTTAATGGCCACGTTTCACAGTCGTAATATAGAACAGAATGAACTGTCGCGCAGTATACTCGTCCCTAATTGATAGACGGACATCTCACCTTCGTCATATGTAGTATAAGTTTGCAAAAGCCAAACGAGCTTTCTAAATCCGTAGGTAACATATTCGTCTGTTATCTAATGAATAAGTATACTACACAACAGGTTGTATTGTTTTATGGCTTTGAACAATAGTCTATAAAAGTAGAGGATATTTGTCGATAATTAATATTTGTCTATAGATGTCTTTGAAGTATTTTTCATTTATGTTAGTACTACAAACTTTCGTTTTCCTTTAGATATTGAGTTTTTAAATTATCTCATATTTTTCTCTACCATGAATTCATTCTTTCTTCTTAAAGCATATTGTTTATTCTGTTACTACTACTGTTACTAATTCTCTTTCTCTGGTATTTGTCAGTATAATTTCATCTCGTTGTACTGATGTGGTAAGGTACCTTAAACAATGCACAAATGTGCCCGATATTACCTTATTTAAATCAGTTATTGTCATCTTGGAACCTTAGAGAAATGTGCTTCAATCTAAGCCATTCTTGTCATTTGATTTAGAATAGACAGATGTAGTACTGCCAAGTATAATGAGATAAATTAAACAACATCAAAAACATATTATGTTGAAAATGAAGGACCGATTCTAAAGGATATTACAAAAATGTATTTAAATATTAGTTTGTGTCTATTAAAAAAGGATTAATAACTCCAGTTCACCCGTGGACCGTCCTCACATAATAATAATAATAATAATAATAATAATAATAATAATAATAATAATAATAATAATAATGATAATAATAATAATAGTAATAACGATAATATTAATTATATTATTAGAAACAAACAAGTTGAATTCAAAACTATTCAACAACCTGGAAATTCTAACGGTTAATTAAAAATAAAAACTAGGAAGAAGGTAAGATTTTTGTTAAATGTGAATAATAAAATATTCATTATAATTGATCTGTAGTAATTTCATTTACTTTTATTAATAGAAGTTGACAGTATTGTAGTGAAGGAGAACACAAGTAGGGACAATCGAGTGTAATTGGATACAAAATTACAGAATCCCTTAGTAAAATCTGAGAATTATTTAGTAAATAATTCATTTACAAAATATCGATCAATCGTCTCAAACTTCATTGCTCTTTCGTTTCCACACTAATCATTGTTTGTTCTCGTTTTGTCTTCTTTGAACTTCTTAACCTTCTACCGCCAGGCATTCCCCTTTTTGATTGGTGATACATACTATTTATATCTGTCGACATCAGTAGCACATACCACAGTATATTACGATAAGATGTATGAGCGAACTTCCTAATAAATCAAATCAGATGAAATTTACTAGAAATTCTGAATCCTGACTACTGAGTATTTATTCTATATTGATTTTATTTCGTTGAATAATTTGTTTTAAACATTTCATGTTATCTTGCAACACTTCTGCTTGTTCCAACTGTCACTTTAAAGAATCATTTCTCCCTCAAAGAACTCAATTCTTTATCATTATGTGTACTTTATATACTGAAGATAAGATGCCGTTTTATTGAAAATGAATTTCAAGTTCTTATTGGTTTACTTAGTCCTTACAAGTTTTGTACTACACACAAATACGGAAGTTTTGAATAAATAAAAGGCTCATTTTCACTAACAGTCATATTTAGCTCCATACATTTAATTATATCCACTTAAATCAGAGAATAGAACTTTCATCAAATTACAGTAATGTAAAAACGTTTTATTATGAACCTGCTCAGAGTACAAATAACCTTAGTGTAGTTAACGAGAACACAAGTAGGGACAATCGAATGTATTTGAATAGAAAATTATAGAACATCTTAGTAAAATCCGAGAACCATACAGTAATTACTTCATTTGTAAAATGTCCATCAATCGTCTCAGACTTCATTGTTCCTTCATTTCCACAGCAACCATTCTCTGTTCTCGTTCTCTTTTTCTTCGATCTTCTTAACCTTCTACTGCCAGGTATTTCACTTTTGATTGATGATACATACTATTTATATCTATCGATATCAGTATCACTGTTATTTATTGTAGATTAACATTTTAAAGTTGGAATATATACTTTTCAATAAGCATTTCAATCATCATTTCCTATATTTAAAGATATTATCTTAGAAAAGGTAAACAGTAGCCACTACAGAAACGTTTTCTTAGTTAATATATTTCCGAGAAACCCAACATAATTTATATTAATTTCTTATTTAACCTAACTGTTTATTAGATAATTTATATAAAGTTAATCTAGTTGTTTATCAGTACGTATTCATTATTCCATGTGAAACAGTATCCAGGAATTTCAGATCTTACAGTAAGTGAAATAACATTTAGCTACAGAATAACATTTCAAAGCTTCATATATTCGACCTCTATCAGTTTATGATTGATCAGTTTTTGATAGCATTAACTCTCAGACGTCTACAATTTATTTTATTCCTGTGACTTTCTTGACTTTTTTAGTTATTGGATGCATAGATTTTAATTTATTCAGTGAATAATGTAATTTTTTGTCATAAGAGCTAGTAAACATAATTATTCAGTTGAAAAAAATCTAAGACACGGATATGTTTCGCAACATTTGGACAGTTATGTAATAGATAACTTAGATACTTGAACACGACATCAAAAATTATTCAGGATAAAATTTTAAGTCCGTAATATCTTTTCATATCAGTAAATCTTTAACAAGTGATCTTTACTGGTAAATTCATTTGGTTATTTTTTCTTGTATTCATGATTATAAAAATAGTAACCAAAGCTTTCTTTCTTAAGCACGAATCTAAAGAATATTCCTAACTATAAGTGTAACGACCGAAATGTCAGTATTCGGTTTGAACGCAGAACTAACGAACCAAAATTTATTTGATTAGACCAGGCCACGTTTTTCTGTATAGTGTACGAAGCGTTTTTGAGTTACTGGTATCAAATTATATCAAAACACAAACTCTGTGCTTAATTTAAACGGTTCTAATTTAAGAAATAGAACAAATTATACCAAAAATACAAAATACCTCAAACGGTACAGCCAGTGCTATACAGTCAAGGGTTTCTCTAATATAAATTAGCGTGCTAAACAACAAAAAAGTTCACTACCTGGAAATCAATAGAAATATTCCCAACAAGAAGGGATCATATATCTATCTGCAGGGATTCCAGCAATCTTTACAAACAGACAGTCAAAGGTTAGCAGTCACACACTGAACCACGCCGTGATTTTGGGCTTAGTCAAACGCGACCTTATTGTCAATAGTTCAACAACATGCAACAGAAAAATTAGGTAATAAAAGGTACATTTTTAATCAAAATTATACAATAAAAGCTCAGACAAAGAAGACTGAAGAACACAAAGTGTGTTTAAAAGAGATCTGAGCAAAGGTTAAAATACACAACAGGCAGAAGAAACAAATAAATGACAGTACTGACCAACAAAAATGCTGGGAAGGGATTTTCAGAGTTTTCTTTTCGTTACATTAAGTCTTGTTACATTTTATATCATCTTTCAAATAATCTTCTATAGAAAGTTTATTGAAAGTTAGATAATGATTCTGAACAAAACACAACACCATTTCATTTTAAAAGGAATATAAAGGTCAGAAGGGGTTTTGTGGAGATTTTAGTAATTTCAACAGTTGAAATCATGAGTCAATTGAAGCTAGACCACCATGGAAAACGTGTAAGCACTGGACGCGAGCGAGACTGATAGGTTTTGGGTTCGAGTCTCATGGGGGGCGGGATTGTGGATGCGCACTGCTGAGGAGTCCCATATTAGGATGAAACAGCCGTTCAGTGCTTCCAGGTATTCCATGGTAGTCTAGCTTCAAATGACTCATGATTTCAACTATTGAAATATAAAGATGTCTAGAAATGATGCTACTCTAATGAACAGTTAGTTCGCTTATTACCGCATTCAAATTACTGATAGTAATATTTCTAAGCATAAAATTTCCATGAATATGTATATAGGGAGATTTGAAAGTTGAATCCACTTTTCATAATGCAGCTAGAAATAAAAAGAATCATCTGTCTAACTTTATTCATTTGCAGGAATCGAATGTCCATGTCTCGGAAACTTTGATAAAACTAGGTTTTGTTCTTGTTAAGATTCAGAGACAAGTTTTGTCTATAACCCTCAGCTAAATAAAATACAGATGATTTCCGCAAGGATTAAGTTGTGTAAATTAGTCGCTTACTAAATAACAAATGATTAACAAATTGATGTCTAAACACTAGTACTAATTAAACAACTCTCATACTAATGGCTGCCAGCGTCATCAAATATGAAATGGAAGTTCATTGTATTTTCACGTTTACGTATTCAAAGGGATATACTGGTCTGTCCAGGCATCAAAAGCTCATGGATAAGGCTATCGATTACACTTATGATCTAGGAGCTATTCATATCATAATATGACTGGCTATTATTCGGTCAGTGCAGTCATTCATGCCAATATTTCAGTAATTAATAAAAGATTGTAGGCATTAGTAAACCACAAATCTTTAAGGTACATTCTATTAGTTTAGTTTCAAACTAAATTCAACAATTACTTTCATGTTTTCTACTGCCAGGTGCTTATATTTGCATGACTTTGAATTGTTAAAACAGTATCTGAGCAAATTCAGAAATATATTCCTTACATGAACAAATGTTAAAGAAAATAATTTAAATTCATTTATCATAAAAGTTGATCAAAGTTGGAAACAGTCTTCAAAATTTGATTCTATTGAAATTCGATCTGAGTTTATGGTATCATTGGTGGACTTTTCTCACTTGACCTACCGATGAATACTTACCAAAATGAAATATATTCATATATATACATAAGCAATTACCCTACTATACTATAAACCTAGAAAACTTTAAAATGTAAAGTATATAATTCCAACTTTTTGTCATAATGGCTACCGTGAAATCAAAGCTTCCTATACTCGATTTTATGTAAGGTCGTGAATATCCACTGTTAATGAATCATGAGAATTAAAAATTTGTTTTGTTTTCCAAACTTTTTGACTGATCATTCATCAAATGTCAATTCTTGATTCAAATAATCTTCAGTCTGAATGAGTTATATCAGGTATCATCAAAGTGGAGCCTGGTACATATTCACGATAGCTCATGTTGCCATACCACATTAGTATGACGTGATGAAATTGACAAGATATATGGCAAAAGTGATCGAAATAATGTAGTAGCAATGACTAAATGACCAACCATTAAGAAGAGGATTTTAACGGATAAATTAGAAGGGTATATATGAAAAAATTCGAGATCGAGAGGAAGATTGTTAATAAATGTATATGTGACAATGTGAACGACTCTGAGCCATATCACACGGTCTCCATCCGCTGGTTGTATTTAACAGGTAGTCTGTATCTACTTACATGGCTTATAAAAACACTTGGTGTCATGTCTTAGTCTGGCTGCCATTAGCTTTCTTCTAATCTACTCCTACAGGTGATTACGTATACGCGATAAACGTCCTAAACATCGCAATCGATGGTGCTTTACTTTCTCAATAATCAATTTGCCACTTTTGTCTAGTACATCATGTCCAACAATAACATTGCTTAATAGGTTATTCTACCGAAAGCAATCGATGCATTGAATTAACTTTCAATTAAAACCTGTAGTCTATCAAAGTTCTTAACTTTCAAAAACTAGATTTTATTAGCACAGAATAATACAGAATATGATGTTATACAAAATACAAGACCGGTTGATAGACAGACATTTCACCTACTCTATAAATTAATCAACAGTAGATGAATATTTTGTTTATAATTCGAACTTCATAGCTCCTACAAATCTCTACATAGATAACAAACAATGGAAATTGTTGATTTGATGACATGTGCGCAATTTCTCAATATATC